AGCACCAGTCACTCTGGCGTCCTACAGCCCCTTCCTCCCCTTTCCGCAGTGCTGGCTGCTACGCCACGCCTCCCTCCTCCCCCGTGTGTGGCAGCCAAGGCCTCAGAGTGGCTCCCCAGCACTGGGGGAAGAGCAGCAGGGGAAGAGGAGCACCTCCTCCAAGCCCCCAGAGGCCAGGGGGATAGAGCCAGGGTGGTGCAGTGGAGGGGAGGCGACTGCTGGCCCTCTGTGGCAGCCGGGGGGGGAGAGCTAGGACTGCCTATCCTCACAGATGGGGGAAGTGGCAAGCATAGTGAGCAGAGGGCTTGGCTCCCTAGTATTTTTTAAAAACAATTCTCACTACAACAACATTTGTACAATTATTTTCTTGGTAAAATACGCTTTTAAGAAAAATATCTGGGATGAATTTCAAAGCTCTTATTACCTCGCTTGCATTGTTGGGCAGCTGCATAATAAAATTCTCCCCTGTGAGAATTAAACATACTACTCATGACAGCAAATGAAGGGAATAGCAAGTGATGAAGGTTTTACACCAATGTACAATTAACATGATCACAACAAACAGAACAAATGAAAATGTCAGGAGAGAAAAGGGATTAAACTATTACACAAAAATGTCTAATTTTCAAATTACTCTTGATGAACATAAAAAAGAGCCAATTTGTACCTAATTCAATTATACCTGTATTGAACCTGAATAAGCTGTGAAAACTGAACAGTGCTATAAATTTGGTTAAGAAAATAAAAGGGCCTAAGATTTAGAGAAGGCCACACAATTTATTTATTCATTCATTCATTCATTCATTTATTAAAGCTGCAGCTCTGGGCCTGGATGGCAAGAGGCACTTTTCTTGTGAAATAAATGGTCTCTTAATTCCTCCCACTCCCTCATATTTATATGCTCTCTGATGTTTGTAGTCTCTGAACAGAGGTGTCTCCCCTTTGCTGTTCTCTGCAAAGTCCCTGGTAGGACCCACCTCTGTGAGGTGTTGAGCACATTTGCTTCCCATTCCAGTCAGTGGGAGCTGAGGGTGCTCAGCATCTTGCAAGATCAAGCCTTTATTGTCTAACAATAGTAACATTTTCTAAGTGCTTCTATAGTATCAAAGGTTACAGTGGTGCTATAAACTTTAGACAGTAATACCCTTAATGAAACAGCATGTCAAGCTACCCAAAAGGAATTTGAATTGCTCAATGTTTTAAAGTGCTATGCACCTGCAATGCAACTTAACTTACTGAAATCGAATTGCAGTTACTGGAACCAGACAGAAAATTCCAACCAATGAATTTCAAGTCTCATTGCAAAGGTTAGCTGTCTGGTTGGAGAATTAACCTAATAGATTTAGAATAGCACCAGCATTACATCATTTTGGGGAGAGTTGCTCCTCCCCCTCAAACAAAAGTCCAATTGTCAAAATACTTGAAATTTAAATATAGGTATTAGATGAGAGAGAGAGGAGAGTGAGTGAGTGAGTGTGTGTGTTTTAATTCATTTCAATCACAATCCTGCCAGCTGCTCCACATGGGTAAATATGTCTTCACAGTGTGAAGCTCGCAAGATCAGTAATCTAATTCACACTTATCTCTGAAAAGGTTTTTCTTTTAAAATATATTTTTAAATGTTGCTTTACAAGATTATAAATCTCTGAGAAAGAAAGAAATGCAATCTTCACTAAGCAGAGTATTTACAAGCCACCATATAATTAAATTATACAAATTGAAACTTAATACTCTTTTAGCATGGGCACCTACAAACATCTATCCATCATAATCCATTGATATGAACTTAACTCCTCTGAGAAATTCTTAAAAGCTACAGGACACAGTAGTAGGGATGTTAAATACTGGTAAAAGGAATAGTCGATTAACCTCATGAATTCTTATTGGTTACTTGACTAATCTATAGTCCCTGGAGGGGAAGGGGGGGGAGTAGCCAATACGCTCCAGCCCCACTCCTGAGGAGCCCCCTGCCAATCCACACTGCTATCTCTGTATCAGAGACAGCAGTGCAGGATGCCAGATGGGAGCTGATCCACGAGGAGAACCAATTTAAAAACCACCTCCCCTCATGAACTGGCTCTCTGTTGCCCCATGCCACTGCCTCTGATACAGAGGTAACAGTATGGGGTGTCAGCAGCCCCTGTCCGGGGGAGGAGCTGAATTGAGCTCCCGGACTTGGCATGAGCTGGAACTGAGCCGGGCTGCCCACCCGCTGGCTCCTAACACACTTTAAATGCAGAGCTGCAGCGGGGGTAGGTCCCAGACCTGGTGTGAACCACGATTGAGTGAGGCTGATGGGCAGCCTGCTAAAAAATGTGCTGGCAGCGGGGAGAGGTGCATGTTGTCTACAGAATTAATCTTATCAGTTAATTAGCTAATCAACTACACTATTACATCCCTACACTGCAGGCACACAAAAACTGAGCACTCTTAATTCAATACTAGGGATGTAAGTGACTAGTTGACTATCCAATAAGCAAAAGCTTATCAGATAGTTTACTAGTCCCTCGACTAGTCGTTTCTCCCTCCCCCTTGCTGTCTCTATCAGAGGCAGCAAGGGGGGGGGGCAGAAGCCAGTGCTGGGGGGAGCCGGCTTAAAAGCCAGCTGCCCCAAGCACCATCTCCGCAAGGGGTAGGGGAAGCAGAGGGGTAGCGAGGACTGGGCGCGAGCCAGGAATCAGCTGATACTCAGCTTACACCCAGTCTCAGACACTGCACCTCTGCTTTTTACATGTATTAAGAGCCTGCCAACTTTAAAAAGCAAAAGTGCAGCAAGGGGGACCGGGCATGAGCCAGGAATCAGCTGTCCAGGCTCACGCTGGATTTCCAGCGCTGCACAGCAGCCTTTTAAATGTATTAAGAGCCGGCACTTACTACATTTAAAAAGCAGAGCCACAGCAGGGTTAGCTCCCAGGGCTGGGCGCTAACTGCACTGCGGCTCCCCCACTTATCGACTAGTCGATGGAAATTCCATCGACTAGTCAATTAGTTGATTAAACTAAATTTAACATCCTTAGCCAATACAATAATGCTACTAATCTGTCAGAATGCCTGATGTACAACCTGAATCAGAAGCAGAAAAATGACTTAGTGGGGTCATTCCATCTGGGACCATCAAAGCACAAAAAACCCAATATGTCAACAGCTAAAACTAGAACATGCTAACCAACATCAGAGCAAATAAAATTTCTGAGATAAGGTAGGGAGCTATTCAACACCTTGCAGGATCAGACATCACCTACTGAACTGTGCTCTTAGCTATGCTAGACATGTAAATGTTAAGAAGCTTGGGCCCTAGGCATGTCACCTGGTGATGGCCCTCCTGGCAGGAAGTCACAGGTGACTGGTACCTTTACCCTTTACAAATCCTGAAAGGCTGCCAAGAACTGAATTGGGGAACAATCAAGTGCATGTTTAGGTAACTTATTTTTTCATTTCTTCTTAGTTTGCGTCAGGCATATTGTGTGTGTGCAGCAACTCTTACCTGCTTCCCAACGAAAATGTGTGTGCATACATTTGTGATTTTTTTAAATGCTTAAATGGGGTCAAAGTCTAAGCAAGGAGGGAACTGTGAAGCAGAAGTGGAACTGCTACAGGAGAACAGATGCTGCGCATGAGCCTCATTTTTTTGTAGGATCCTCACTGAGGAAGACATTGGGACTGTCCATGCTTCAATAAAACGCCTACTGCTGGCCTGTGTCAACTGTCTCAGGTTCACAGGGCACAGGTTATGAGGCTATAAAACAATTGTGTAGATGTCCAGGTTCACGCTGGAGGCCAGGCTCTGGAACCTTATAAGTACAGGATGCACTTCACAAGTACCTGAAGTTCACTGAAACTGTTTGAAATTGAGGGTACTTAGCATCTAGCAAGAGTGGAGCATAAGTGTATATACATGGTAGAGAAAATATAAAGAAATGGTATATTATAATCTCTCAAACACCACATTATTACCCACTGCATGAAGAGAAATTTACATATATGGTTAAACTAGGGAAAAAGGCATTCTGCACAGATAAGATACATGTTGTTGATGCACAGAATGAAAGCCATTAAAACAGAAAACAATAATATACACTGTACAGCTTTTAAAAAGCTCTCTTTTTAAGTCTGTTAAAAGTCTGTTCTTGACCAGGGATAGTAGAGAATGCAACATTCAAGATGTAATTCTGGAAGGAACTCGTAACATAAAAGAACAAACCTTCTGCCCATGCAGTAAATAGTCTTAAAAAGTGAGCAAATTCCATCTAAAACAGGAATTCTTAAACTCTGGGTCAGGACCCCAAAGTGGATCAGGACCAATGTTCCCTCCAATCTTTTCCATTCCTGGGCAGATTTTCTTTCCATCCATGCGTGAAATAAATTTCATGTACACCAAGGCATGTGTGAATGTGCACCACAAGTAGAAAAAAATAACTTAGTTGTGGGCACTCTGCTAATTAGCTGGGTGGCATGTGAATGTCTCCTACCAACTATACAAGTGCACAGCTTATAGGGAACACTGGTTGTGACCCTGTCTGAATGAGGTTGCCAGGGCTGGTTTAGACTTGCTGAGGCCCAGTGCTCAAGTCAAAGCTACATAGCCATGGGCCAAAGCCAAAGCCTAAGGGCTTTAGCCCTGGGTGGCATGGCTCAGATTGCAGTCCCCCTGTGCCCCTGCTCAGAGTGGGGGGCTCAGGGCTTTGCCCCCACCTTTTTCCATCTGGTGCCATGAGGCTTGGGCAGGCTCAGGCTTCAGACCTTCTTCCTGGGGATTTGAAGTGATTTTCGTTGCCAGAAAGGGGCTCCCGTACAATGAAGTTTTAGAGTCCTGATCTAATCTCATGATCAACCATTTTATTTTAGAATTAATAAAACGATTATATGGTCAGTTTAAATCAAATTACTATTTACTGTCTGAAAAATGGCAGTTACAAAACACACTGGTGTTATTTTTAATGGAGGAGAATTTTAACATTCATTTAAAAAAAATGAAGTAAAAAAATAGAATAAGCACTTACCTGTAATACCGAGACTGCAAATAGGTTGAACAAACAGTCTTTGATACATGGCTGGCAGACCCAAAGTCTATTACTTTAACCCGGTATGGCTGCCGGACAGGATCCACCAACATAATGTTCTCTGGTTTGAGGTCAGCATGGATTAAACCAAGACTTTTTAGTTTTTTCAGTGCAGTGGCCACCTGTTGCAGAATAGGCCGTATTACTTTTAGCTGTAGAGGGCTGAATTTGTTTTGCTTCAGAAAGTCATATAAATTCTGTTCCAACATCTCAAATACCAAGCAAGTATGGTTATGATGCTGAAAGCATTCATACGCTCTCACAAAATTAAACTCATCAGCATTTTCAGTACTTAGTCTTGCTAATATGCTCACTTCTATTTGCCCTTGGCGTGCATAAGAAGGATGATTCTTCAGAATTTTGATTGCAACAATCTCATTTGTCCCTCTTGTCCAACATTTTACTACTTGTCCAAAGGTCCCTCGCCCAAGGAAATCCAGCACCTCATAAGTATTTTTCACTGAACATAACACCTCATGCTGTACTAACTGATAATCTCCATCTCCACTGGTACTACTTTGTTTTGAAGTTGCAGTAGTTGTCACAACCGTCACTGGATTTCCCATATTTGCTTGCAACATTGCAGGTAATACAGACAGTTCATCAACGATCTGCATCGCGTTTTGATTATTCAACTCTTCACTCTTACGTTTCAATCCACATCGCTGGGATCCATCCAGTAAATCTAACCTGGTTCCCTGTGTACCAGTCTGAGGTGCCTCAACTTGAGGTTGTTGTGCCAGCGCTGCTAATACATTTGTAGCACCTACAGTATTTTTTAAAGCAACAGCACTGGTCTGCAACAAAAAGTTCTGTCCTCGAGGTCTGTCAAATCGGTTCTTAGTCTGAAAACAAGTACTAATCCTGCTGGGAGAATGAGCAATTCCAAAGTTTTTACCAGTCACATAAATCCGTGGGTAGATTCTTTCGTGGTACACACAACTGCTTGGCTCTACTTTGAGTTTCTTCACACTACAAAAGGCACTTGACTGGGTTTGATAAACATATGGTGGATAGACCAAGACTTGTGAGGCCATACCTGAAGAAGGAAGTTGGGGAGGGAGGGGAAAAACAGGAAAAAAAAATCACAATTTAAAGCTTGTAGCAACTTCTTCCCCTGAGAAATGAGAACACTCAAATTAAAAACTTCAGTTTGCCATTAAACAGTTTGACATTTAAAATTACCTAAATCAGTAGTTCAATTATTTTTAAGCCAAAACAACCCACCAAATGCTTTTTGTCCTTTTTGGCAACCCACCCAGTGTCTAAATTCATCATATTCCAGCATCCTCTCCTCCTCTGCTGTCTCCTCCTCACCCCTCTGAGGGGACAGTGACCATTTGCAGCAGCATCCTCTGCCCCAGCATTGCAATAACCACCCCAACCCAGTGTTGAGCAAGGATGGAGAGTGAGCCCACCTCACACACATTTTGCAGCAGCAGCCCCTGTCTCATGAAAATGGGCCCCACTCCCTGGTGTGCAGGATGGCAGCGCCATTGAGGTTTAAACTTGCCACCCTCCATCATGATGGAGAGGACAGCCAGAACAAATCTGACCGAGCGACATTGCAACCTGGCAAGTGAAGTCAGAGGCCACTTAAGTTTGGACCATGCACCAGATCACAGAGCAGAGAGCAAGGCCTAATATTATAAAACAAGAATCACTGTTGCAGGGTTAATTGGGGAACAACTACACTCCAAATGCCCCTGACCCCTAGGCCACCCCGCTGCACTAGGTCCAAAGCCCATATAGCACCTTACTACGACTCACCGGTGGATTTGGAACTACTATTTGGAAAATACTGCTACACATTTTTCATCCTAATTAGGGATGTTAAAAATTGTGTAACTACTGAAAACCTCAGCAGTTATTCAGTTACCCACACTGCTAAGCTTTAAACTGCAGAGCCCACAGCAGGACCAATCCCAGAGCAGGACTGCCAGTCCCTGCCCGCCTGGCTCCCAGGGGGAGGCTTAGTTGCCAAAGTGAAGCCTCCTCCCATGGTGTGCAGCGAGCAGCCCTTGGATTCCTGCATCCCAAGGAGGTGGCTTTGCTGCCCTGCCATAGCAATGCTGCCTCCCCAGGAGCCAGCTTAGTGTAACCAAGACCATTAGTGATAAGCATCAGCATATCGGTTAAGTGGTCATTCGGTTATACTCTAACTCCCCTAACCCTGGTTCCCATTGCCTCCATTCTCCTTCAATGTGTATAATGCATGCACTCCTGACATTCACATTTCAGGGGCTGAGAGCTGTGGCTACTGATCATTCTGGACCAGTTATACAGACTGGCACAAGGATGGTTTGCAGCAGCTCAAACCATCCTTTTTTGGGAAGGAGAAGCTAACCTTCTTTCATTCCAGAATCCAAGCTTTAATTAAAGAGCCCTCTAGCTCTCATGGCTATTAAGATATTCTGCTCATAACTTGCAGGTTGCAACCTAATGCAGTTATGTCTGGCTAGCCTGCAATAATAGTTCTGGGTGCGAGCATATCCTAATATCCTGAAGTATTAACTCAGAAACCAGCTAATTTAAAACATTAACAGTGTTACCATTTCACTCTGAGAAAAGCATACATGAAAGAGGGGTGAGCCTCAACTGACATCACTGCTCTCAGGGAATACAAGAGGAAAATTCTATTAAGAAGACCTGAACAATCTGCTTTAAGTCATATTTTCTTTTGGTGTGCATAGTAAGTGAGACATAGGCCTCTGTCCAGGCTTGCAATACCATATATTCTATTCTATTATATATTATTCTCATCCCAATGTATAACTTATAAAATTACAATATAATCCTTCTACAAATTATAGATGCTTAAAATCATAGGGTTGGAAGAGAACACGGAAGATTGAGTCCAACTCCCTGCTAAAAACAGGACCAATCCCAACTAAATCATGCCAGCCAGGGCTTTGTAAAGCCAGAACTTAAAAACCTCTGGGGATGGAGATTCCACCACCTCCCTAGGGAACCCATTCCAGTGCTTCACCATCCTCCTAGGGAAACAGTTTTCCCTAATATCCAACCTAGACCTTCCCCACTGCAACTTGAGACCATTGCTCCTCGTTCTGCCATCCATCACTACCAAGAACAGCCTCTCTCCATCCTCCTTGGAATCTCCTCCTCAGGGAGTTGAAAGCTGCTATGAAATCCCCCCTCACTCTTCTCTTCTGCAGACTAAATAGGCCCAAATCCCTCGGCCGCTCCTCGTAGGTCATGTGCTCCAGCCCCTAATCATTTTTGTTTCCCTCTGCTGAACTGTCTCCAATGCATCCACTTTCTTTCTGTAATGTGGAGCCCAGAATTGGATGCAATAATCCAAACGTGGCCTCACCAGTGCTGAATAAAGAGGAATAATCACTTATCTGGATCTGTTGGCAATGCTCCTACTAATACATCCTAATATTCCATTAGCCTTCTTGGCTACAAGGGCACACTGTTGACTCATATCCAGCTTCTACTCCACTGTAATCCCCAGGTCCTTTTCTGCTGAACTGCTACTTAGCCAGTTGGTCCCCAGCCTGTAACGATGTTTTGGATTCTTTCATCCCAAGTGCAGGACTCCACACTCGTCCTTGTTGAGCCTCATCACATTTCTTTTGGCCCAAACCTCCAATTTTGTCTAGGTCATTCTGCACCCTATCCCTCCAACGTATCTACCTCTCCCAGCTCAGTGTCACCTGCAAACTTGCAGAGGGTACAGTCCATCCCCTCATCCATTAATAAAGATGTTTACTGTACTTCTAAACTGTACACAAAAATATTCTTGTATAGCAAACAGCAAATCCCATGTATTTGTTGAGTGGACAATATTCTTACAGTGCTTTCTACTTAGATGTTCCCTAAAATACACCAGCATGTAAATTAGTTCAGTGTTCTTTATAAGCCAACACTCCTGAGAAATCCCATGCGAAGCTACTTTACAGACATGAAGATACTATACAACAACAAAATCTCCTCTGCATTATACACTGTATCAAGTTAGATCAGTCTTGTTTCCAAGGCCCTAAATAATACAGTCCTAATCCATATCTCTAGCTTGTCTCTTATTACATTCCTGATCTCTATAAAGAATACCAGCCTCAATGCCTCATTCACCTGTTGCTTCTGCAATGATATCCTTGTTTGAAACACGTCTTCCCCAATCAGGTAGATACAAATAAATGTGGGGTTTTTAATGACATGTTTAAAATTTACATTCAATATATTCCTACTTTTAAAAATAATCACATTTAAAATTAGATTATGGCAACCTGTGTGCCAAAGTCTTTGAGGGAGTAGGTCAACATATCTAAATATTTGTCTAGTTTTACACGGGCTACATGAAAAGTACTAGCAAAGGCAACACAAACTAAATTTTTTTATAAACCAAAGTGGTTAATAAGCAGTCTGTGGGCTAAACACCTTACACCATGGTTAGCCCTGAGCTTCGTCTAGACTGCCAATTTTTTCTGGCAGAAAATATGCTAATGTGGGACTCATTAGCATAAGTTGCAATCTCATTAGCATAGTTTCTGTCATTTCTTTTTGCGCAAGGGGTTTTTGCGCAAAAAGAAGCCGTGTGGGCCAGGTTTTTTTTTGCAAAAGCCCTGTTTTGTGCAAGATCCTCCAGGTTTTTTTGTGCAAAAGCCCTGTTTTGTGCAAGATCCTTATGCCTGTCCCGGAGAGGCATAAGGATCTTGCGCAAAAAGTCCCCACTTCTTCATTTTGCACAAAAACCCCTTGCACAAAAAGAAATGGCACAAAATATGCTAATGAGAATGTGACTTATGCTAATGAGTCCCTCATTAGCATATTTTCTGCCAAAAAAACTGGCAGTGTGGATGAAGCCTCAGAGAGCTGCTAGACTACTTGTTTACCCAATCGCAAACAGGAAGCAGTGGGGTAGTCATGTTACAGAAATAAGAGGTGAAAACAGACCATTTTCATGCAGTGCTAATGTAGCATTGATCCCTACAGCAAAACCCCAGTTCAAGTGTAAATGATTGGATCATTATCTTCCAAATTCATCTGTTAATTCAGCCCCTCAGAAAGCCAAAAGGATGCCTAAATACACATCTCCATAGCTTCACTTACTCCAGTGAAGTTACTACAATTCACACAAGAGAAGGATCTCCACATCTCCCAGGGGAATCCAGTGCCCACAACAGCTAGATAATATAAATATCAATAATATTCATATTAAATAATAACTTTGTGACAGTGGATACACAAACGGTACAATAAGCTAGTACTTCTTAAGCCACAAGTAGCTACAGAGAGGATATTACACAAGTAACAGCAGAACTTGATGGACAAATAAATCCATGTCGTCAGCAGCCTTTCTGGCTGTCCAAGGTTAGGTAACAGGCCATTAAAAACAACTTACATACTTACGTGCCTTCTTAGCTTTTTGGAGTGAATTTTATAGTTAAACAAGTCCTTAGTCTGGGATTCCTGATGTGATTGTTTCTTTTTAATCAAGAATTGTACACACTAGAGAAAGAAGAACCTAATTTAGATTCTGATATTAATACATAAAACTCTGTTTTTAGTGTTCCTATTCCTAAACTGATGATGACAGTCACTAGAAATTATGTGAGAAAAAATTGCTTTCGGCCACTCCTTCACTGCTGTGGCAATATGCCCCTATTTCCTATCTCCAAGATAAATAACAGCTTTCTAATTATTAAAAAAAAAATATGTATCTGGATAAGATTATAGCGAAATTTGCATCAACTATTTTTTGTCCCTTATGCTCAGTCATGCTTGCGTGGAATTAAAATATTAGTAGCAGGATTCAAAACTGACTTCAGTGTGCAGAAAAAAAAAGTGTAAGGCAAAAAGTTTTCCAGGAGACAGAATAATTTTGGCAGGCACAACAATCCTTTGGCAGAGATCCTGTCTATACTGCTGCAAAGATAAAAGCCCTTGAGGAACTCATATGTAAAGCCCTTTTTGCAAATGATTGTCCACTTAGTTATAGTAAAAGTGACCTTCAGATTATCTTTGACAGTTCCTGAAAGGAAACTGAATACCTTGGACTCATTATTAGCCTAA